CACACACACACACACACACACACACACACACACACACATATATATATATATATTCCTCCAGCAGAGCACTTAACTGTTTTACAGTATTTTGTCCTTTAGTATTTGTTTGACTTCACAAGAGGGGAGGAAAAAAAAAACCCTCTATATTTTTGGACAGATTTCTTATTGGGTGGTGAGGGGCTGCTTGAATATGAGCATTTCCCTCCTTTGCAGGGCATGATTATCAGACTTCTAGTATGTCTAAAGATTACACTTGTTCAGTATTTACAAATGCAAATTAGAGTTAGGCCAATCCATGCCATTTGGGTACAAAAGACCCTTTAGAGGCAAGGGCTCGCAAGTCAATGTTTTGTCATCGTGTGTGGTCTCTCACATTAAAAAAAATAAAAAATAAAAAATCAGCTAAAATTGGTGTGCATCTCGCTCGACTAAACTGGAGCAAAATGGACTGCGCAATTTACCACAGTTAATTCTCTCTCAATTAGTTTACTGCCTTGAGAGGAAGATAACATGGGAAGTTGAGTCGATACTATGTCTCAAATCCTCTGGGCAACAACACTGATAATGAAACAAGGCCAACTTGGATGCATGTCAAGGCTTACCTCAAAAATAAGTTTTGAATCAGGGGGAATTTTGGGTGGGCTGCCGGCAGACCCATACGCATACTCAGGTTTACAGATGAGCTGGCAGAGCTCCCCCTCTTTCATAGTAGCCACGCCGATGTCCCATGCCTTTATGACTTGATCTGCACACGCAAACAGGGAAGACGGATGAAAACATTGTTGTCGGTGTGACGGGGTAATGTCTTCTCCCAAATGATGGGAAACCAACCTTTGCCCAGCTCAAAAGAGAACTTCTCTCCTCGGTCTCTGCTGGAGTCAAAGGTGGAGCCATCCAGGAGGGTGCCCACGTAGTGGACAAAAACTTTGTCCCCAATCATTGGCAGCTCTGTGCCAGTGCCTTCCCTTTTCACCAGCTGAAAACATAAGACAGCGAGGACATACAGTAGTACATTGTTTAATTTGTTCCGTGAATCAAGCTTGCGACTCCATTTAGTTTTATATCACATACATATTGCTCAATGAAATGCCACTTATGTGTTCCAGACAATATATGAGAATGTGAAAAAATGGTTTTAGAAAATGCATGCATGATATATATATATATATATATATATATATAATTTTTTTCCCAGGAGCTAAGTTGTCTGGGACTTGATGCCCCTGGCAGGGTCACGCATGGCAAACAAGTCCGAGGTGAGGGACCAGACAAAGCAGGGCTCAAGAACCCTTTATGATGAATAAAATAAATGAAACTCAGTTTCCCTTGCCCGGACGCGGGTCACTGGTGCCCCCCTTTGGAGCCAGGCCTGGAGGTGGGGCTCGTTGGTGACCGCCTGGTGGCCGGGCCTACACCCATGGGGCCCGGCCGGGCTCCG